CTCGCTCGGGGTGGGTGCTTCCAAAAGGTTTGGGTGCTCGCTCGTTTGTCTGCGCCGGCTGCTTGTTTGCACGAGGCGCGCTGTGCAGGCGAGCGAGCACGCAATTTTGTTAGAAGCACGCACCTCGAGCGAGCATGCATTGGAATTTTCTGGAATCTAACCCGAAACCCTAAACACCTCCACGGCGAGTCTGAGGCCTCAAAAAAACGTCGATTTTGCATGCTCGCTCGGGGAGGGTGCTTCCAACATTTTTGGGTGCTCGCTGGCGCGCGTGCGCTGCGCTGCGGTGCGCGTAAGAGCGAGCTCCACAATCGAGCGAGCACGCAGTTGTGCAGGAAGCACGCAAATCGAGCGAGCATGGCTAGCGAAATCCTTGAATAGGGTCCTTAGCCCTAAACCGGTTTAGGGAACCCTAGACCAAAAGCCAAACAATTCTGAACTTGGCCTGGGCACATATCCTTCTCGAACTGGGTTTTCCGTATCTTCTTGAGGCTGTGGAAGTTGTTGGAGGTTCCTGAATTTGGATGCGAGGTTTTCGTTTTGCTTCTTTTGAGTGCCTTTTTGTGCATCCTTATAGCAAGGTTTTCATTAGGGTTCCACAGTACGCGAAAACCCTATTCCCCGGAACAGCAGAGATACGGAAAGAACATGAGCATCACATTTATCTGCTGCATGCGGCCACCGATAGCAAGGGCAGAGGCATATTCAGACTGTACATGAACCGCTCTCAATTGAAACCTTCCGCCCTAAACCCTAAACCCACGAAAGCTTGCTCTTCGGCGGCACCTGAGGGCGAAGAGTTCATGGATTGCCGGCCCTTTGCTGTCTCCATGACAGCGATGGATTTGTATTCTCGGCCCAGCGACATGGCGACAAGGCACCAGGTCTCACAGCAAAGGTGAACAACAATACTAAGGAGCCCGAATATATGGGATGAGTAGTCATTAAGACCACTTCATGATCCTGAACCTTCGTGGATTTGTGGTAGGCAAGCCTCAACATGAAGGGTTCAGGGCTTATAGGGTTCGGAGTAGGCTGGTGAGGCTCGGGTAGGCGCTGACGGCCCTAGGTGCAAGCGCCAAGGTCAGGGGCTCGAATCTGGTTTTACTATAATGAAGACATACTTACATGCTCGAAACCCATCTACGATACATAGTGTTTACATGTATATACACACACACACACTAGATGTGCATGTATGTAAAGGAACGACTCAACAATCCTACATATCCGAACGTCTGCATGAGGTCCTGCATGGATATGATGCAGCTACCTGGACAGTGGAAGAACTTCGTGAAGATCACATGGAATTATTCTTCCAGAACAGCCACAGAGCTTCCAGCGGCTGGCTTCCCAGAGCCGGGTACTTTGAAGGCCAAAGCTTCCGCTCTAAATATTTCAGACCAAACCCGAAAGCCCTAACTGAAGCGTGACTGCTACTCCCTCAAGCACTGAACCCTGAACAACTCTACACCATGGCCGGCCCGGCTCTGGAATAACACGGCTCTGGGCCGGAACTGCGGGATATATCCGCCTACTTTGTTAGGTTGAGGATTTAGGGTTTGGGGTTTAGGGTGTAGGGTTTCCTGGGTTTCTTCGTTGGGTGCGAGGTCTGAGAAGCCGCCCTTGTACATGCAGATGAACACATGCGCACATAACTTGACCAACAGACGCAATAAAGGGTCCTACTAAGCCATCCTTGCAGAGTCGTTGTTGTCGTTTTTTAGTAGCAGCAGCAGCAGCAGCAGCAGCAGGACTAGTAGTAGTAGTAGTAGTAGTAGTAGTAGTAGTAGTCGTCGTAGTAATAATAATAATAGTAGTAGTAGTAGTAGTAGTAGTAGTAGCAGTAGTCGTTGTAGTAGTAGCAGTACGTAGCAATGGTACTGTAGTAGTCCTCGTCGTCGTTCGTCGTCGCAAGAACAGAAGCAAGAACAGTATTGGTATCACATTGTACTAGTTCTTAGCAGGAAAAGTCGTGAAAACGACTTGCATGAAAAACCGGAGTCACTTCTTTCACGAGATGCAATGGTGGAGGGATCGCCAAAGCTGTTCCCGGCTGGTATGCCTTGCAACCCCACTTGCATCTGGGTCTGCTTGTTGAACGACCCTAACTGACCCGCAACCCTTCTACCGAAGCTCCCGCACTTTCGCCAACTCTCATCTCAAAACCACACAGAGACGCTCTGTCCTTCCGGTTTGCGTGAGCGCAGCCTCGCGTCTCGTTGAAGGTGCCATTGCACGGCCTGCAAATCTTCCGACTCTCATTCTTTGGGTCGGAATGCTACGCGTCAAACGGATACACAAACTGAACAGAGCAATGATGGTACTCAAGAGTTTCGAGGACTATGCTGACAACACCCGCGGCCCCCCCATACCCGTTTTTAAAAAACCGAACATCTAAGAATCTACGGCTGCAGCTTTGGATGTCTCCAAGGATGACTTTGGGCCTTGTCGGAACCCCATCAACATCCCAGGCCAGGGACCACATGCATAATTACGGTTTAGGGTTTTAGGGTTTTAGGGTTTAGGGAACCCTGAACCCGGGATTGGACCTATAATCACTCTACTCCCTCAAAACACGCGACATCCATGCACCTTAGACCCTAAACCCTTATCAACCCTGAGCCCAGCAACCCCACAGTCTCTAAAGCGTAAGGCCAAATACCCAAAACTAAAGCCCAGAGCTAATTAAAATCCTGACCCCAAACCGCTTCACCACTTGGAGCCCAGCTTTCCACCAAGAACAGGCTCTGTGGCGATGCGTCGCCAGCGATGCGTCCTCAGTGTAGGGCTTAGGGTTTAGGGGTTTCCGGTTTCGGCTTTAAGCTTTGGAGTTTAGGGTTCGGACACTCGACCTTGGACGTTGCGAGGGTTGGAGGGTTGGGGCTTTACACAACTTTGGGTTGACTTTCTAGGGTTTAACTGGGGGTTGAGGGTTCGGGGTTTCACGGATGAGCGTTGAGTTTAGGATGTCAAGGGTTCAAGGTCTAGGGAGCTCTTAGGCTTGCCTGAAAGAGCTGGCAATCTAGGTTTCTGTGCCTCACATCCTGGTACATCCACACACAATATCCTAAAGGTCCTAATGATTCAGGCCCTACTGAAGCCCATGTAAGCTGAATTCGTGCCGAGGCCCACTCCCACACCGCCAGTACGCATTTTGCTGGCTTCTCCGCCCCGAATAAACCCTGAACCCCCCGAAGTCAAATTCAACGCCCTGCTTCGGACGTTTGCGAATCCACGGAGCCTGAGCCTGAATCCTAAGCCAGAGACTCCAAAACCCCTTAATTAAGGAATATACCTTAAATCATATTAGGGATCCTATTATAATTTAAGGTATATTCCTTAATTAAGGGGTTTTGGAGTCTCTGGGAAGCCCTCAAACCCTGAGCCCTAAACCCCTGGGACAAGCTCGCATTATTGCTTGTGGCGGCTCCTTTTCGACTTACAGCTTCAGAGCAGCAGCGGCTATGTGCAAGTAGTCCCTTCCGGGGCAACCTAACTCAGAGCAGGCCATAAATATGTGAATATTTTCATGTTTTTGTTTTGCTGGAGGGGGAGCTTTTGTGGGTGGGCTGGCCGTGATGGAATGTCCAGGTACACTGCATTTTAGTGCTCGCAGTACTTCCTGGCACCCGTTCTATGATGTGAAACGCAGCTCGCCGAACTCTTCCAGCTCTGCTTTGGTGTGGTACCTGCCAGCAAATTTCCAGTAGATGCAAACGGTCACTGGGAAAGTTTACGACATCGCTCAAACTGCCCTCCATCATCGAACACGGGCTTCTGAAAGAATCATATAACAAGGGGTTGAAACTGTGCTCGAGTGTGCGATAGGTGCCGCTGCTTTGCCATCAAAAGACTGGGACCACCTATTTCCTGGCCATCCCGGAGCACAGAAGTCTCGAAGCCAAGCTCTACAAGAAGCACCAAAACCCCAAATCACTCAACCCTAAACCCTAAAAATCCCTCAACCTATATACCCTAAACCTGAAACCAACGACCTGGAAAACCCGAACCTCGATGTCATTCGCCTATACTGTTTTTAGATTTTTCGACTATAAAAAATATAGATAAACAGAGATATATAGATATATGTATGTATATTATATATAAAAATTTACTAGTTGTTCTATTAACAATTGTCATGTGATATTAACTATTCTAATTAGCTCCATGCCTAAACTCCGCAAAAACCCCAAAGCCCTCAAAGGAAACCACATGTAGGGGCATTCCCAATTAGAATGGGGTTTTGGTGCCCATTCTACCATAAATATACATAGGACCCCCCCCCCCCCAAAAAAAAAAAAAAAAAAAAAAAAAAAAAAA